CAAAACGGTGCACAATCCATCATATAAGGCCTACATGAGTGTCAGCTCCATGTAGAGGTCAGTCAAGCATAGGTCAGGGTCAAGGTCAGGTCAACCGGGTAGGCAAATATCCCCGAAAATCAAAACTGATATTCGCAGCCTGTGACACATGTTTTATGGGTAATTTGGGGCGTAGAACACGATGGTGACATTCATTTTATCATATATGTACATGTTTGGCTCAAAAAGTTAAATTTAAAAAATGCATGTATCATGGTGGTGAAGTAGTCACGAGAAATTGCCGAGATTCAGTTCAAGATTTTTGAAAATGCGGAACGATAATCAATAATCGAAGATAGCCATTTGATTGTTCATGGTATTGGCAGTCTAATGGCGTTTACGGCATGTCTGTATGTCTATTCTGTGATTTTATATGATTTTTTGAACATATGCCGTTTTTGGTCGAAAACTCAGAAATCATGACGTCACTAAAACCTCGATATCTCAAAAATTTTCCGATCGATTTTTTTGAAACTTTGTCACAATAAACTACAATCAATTCTCTAAAGGTACCCAAAATTTGGCGCGCCTGCGGCGCGCCGTTTTTATGCTATGGCCCGGCGAAAAAAGTGGGGGCGTTTAACGCCCCCCCCCAGCAACTCGCGGGTTAAGCGTGGCAATGAGACAGCCGATAGAACTTTTGTCACTCGTGCATCGAGGTGCGGAGCTATATTTTGTATAACATATTAGTATTAAGGCCTTGATTGAGCAGATTGGTGTCTATTGTTTCGCACGGCAATCGTCCAGAGACGTGGGAACTGGGGGTTATGTGTAGTGCCGCAGCCAGCGCCCCAATTTAAAGCGATTATTACTGTTGCTCTAATATGTGGTCACTGGTCGCAGCCCCCAATAGCAAACCGTTCCAACTAGGAGCCAAAAAGTCGGCCACTCAGGGGGGTTCGAACCGGGCTTCTCCCACCGGCCAATTCACGACACGAGCGTTCATCCACTGAGCTACCGAGAATGGTCCGTATCTGCACAAAACAAAATGACATTCACCCGCTGACCGCCAATGACAGTATTTGTGACATTTGATCGCGTTTGACCGCGGCGGGTAGTCGCTGGTCTCGGCAGCTCAGTGGATACACGCTAGCGTCGTAGGGTGATCGGTTCGAGAAGCCCGGTTCGAACCGTCCCAATTCCCAGGTGCGCGACTTATTTGTTCCTAGTTGGAACGGTTTGCTTTTGGTGGCTGCGACCACACATTAGAGGAACAGTAAGAGTTGCTTAAAGTTGGGACGCCGCGCTATCCAAAAACCCCAGTCTCTGGACGATTGCTGTGCGAAATAATAGACACTAATGAGCTCGATCAAGGCCTGAATGCTTATCTGTTATAAACAATGTAGCTCCGCAACTCGATGCACGTGTGATATAAATTCTATCGGCTGTCCCAATGCCAGGTAGAGCAATGTTAGGTAGAATGATTGGCGCCTTGAGACGCGAAAGTTAACTACACTCTCTCAGCCGCGCGATGGTCCGTGCTCCCACCCCACCTCACTCCCCAGCCCTCGCCAGCCGCCGCGCCGCGCCGACCCGAGCCATGCCTCCGGGCTCGGCCCTCACCGCTGCGCTGACGTCACAGGCGGCCCACATCGCCTTCCAGCCACCGACCCAGACCGGTGTCATACGGTGTGGGTAGGCTGTGCCGCTTGACAAGTAAGTGAAGCGGCACAGTCTACCGGTACCAGGCGGCTGCTGCCAATGCTGAGCCATAGGAACCCGGTGGATAAAGAGTTGTAGAACATCAATCTGCCCCCGAGTGTACCGGTAGACTGTGCCGCTTCACTTACTTGTCAAGCGGCACAGCCTACCCACACCGTGACACCGGTCTGGGTCGGTGGCTGGAAGGGGATGTGAGCCGCCTGTAACGTCAGCGCAGCGGTGAGGGCAGCCCGGAGGCATGGCTCGGGTCGGCGCGGGCTGGCGAAGGTTGGGGAGTGAGGCGGGGTGGAAACATGGACCATCGCGCGGCTGGGCGAGCGTAGTTAGCTTTCGCGTCTCCATTCACCAATTACTCTACCTATCAATTGCGCTAAAGCATTTGTTAAAATGTCCTATGCTCAAGACAGCGCCTATCATTTACTTGCTATGCGCATTACGACGCACTTAAGCGTGGCAATGGGACAGCTGATAGAACATATGTCACTCGTGCATCGAGGACCGTGCGGAGCTATGTTTTGTATAACATATTAGTGCTAAGGCCATGATTTAGCAGATTGGTGTCCATTGTTTCGCACGGCAATCGTCCAGAGACGTGGGAACTGGGGGTTATGAGTAGTGCCGCAGCCAACGCCCCAATTTAAAGCGATTATTACTGTTGCTCTAATATGTGGTCGCAGCCAAAAATAGCAAACCGTTCCAACTAGGAGCCAAAAACCCGGGCACATAGGAGGGTTCAAACCGGACTTCCCCCAACGGTTAGTTCACGTTACGGGCGTTCATCCACTGAGCTACCGAGAATGGTCCTCATCCGCACAAAACAAAATGTCATTCACCCGCTGACCGCCAATGACAGTATTTTGAGATTTGATCGCGTTTGACCGCAGCGACTGGTCGTTAGTCTCGGCAGCTCAGTGGATACACGCTCGCTTCGTAGGGTGACCGGTTGGAGAAGCCCGGTTCGAACCGTCCTGAGTGCCCGACTTTTTGGCTCCTAGTTGGAACGGTTTGCTATTGGTGGCTGGGACCACATATTAGAGCAACAGTAATAATCGGTTAAAATTGGGGCGTTGGCTGCGGCACTTCTCATAAACCCCAGTTCCCACGTCTCTGGACGATTGCTGTGCGAAATAATAGACACCATTGAGCTCAATCAAGGCATTCATACTTATCTGTTATAAACAATGTAGCTCCGCAACTCGATGCACGTGTGATTACGAGCGAGCGAGCGCAGCGAGCGAAGCGAGTCTTTTCAATATAACGGAAAAATCTCCGTATGAGCGGCCTGGCCCGGCCTGTAACGCTTTTGAGAGGCTTATATCTCAGCAACCGCTGGACCGATTGTCCTGCGGTCTTTTTTGCTGGGTAGCCCCATCCCTTCTACCCCGTATTTGACTACTTTTGATACATCTCAGTGACCGTCGTGGCACGTGCCACGTGAAAAGTCAAGGGTGTTCAAGCTGTTTTGCAAAAGTAGTGATTTTGAGAGGCTCATATCTCAGCAGCCGCTTGGGCGATTGACTTGCGGTAATTTTTGTAGGGTAGCTGCATCCCTTCTACCAAAGGTCGGATACTCTTGATCTATGTGAGTGACCCCCACTGCACGTGCAAAATGCAAAAAGAAGAGGTGTCAAATTTGTTCCCATTTCAATAACTCGTTAATTTCTGGGGCGACTTCGCTGAAACTTGGCATACAGGTAGGCACCCACCAGGCAATGCATTCACATGTGTTGCGGTTAGGGTGCTATTGCACGTGCGCACGTGCAGGGGGCGCTCCCAGTACTCGAGAACGGCTGGGCCGATTGCGCTCAAATTTGGTACACGGTTGGGGACCGTTATTCGGGTGCCGTGCAAAAGCCAGTTTGGACCCCGTTTGCACGTGCGCACGTGCAGAATGCCGATTCCAGATCTCAGGAACGGCTGGGCCGATTGCGTTCAAATTTGGCTCACCGCTAGCGACCGGTTAGAAGGGTGCTTTGCACAAGCCCGTTGGAAGAACCCTCTCGCCTTTCCGCACGTGCAGGGCTCACTATCGCGCTCGCTCGTTCTTCGCCCAAAAGGCGTTTTACTGGTATAAATTCTATCGGCTGTCACAATTCCACGTTACTAGGTGTCGTAATGTGCATGGCAAGTATGATGATAGGCGCTGTCTTTGGCATAGGGCATTTTAACAACTGTTTTAGCGCAATTGATAGTTAGAATAATTGGGGAACGCGAAAGTTAACTACACTTGCTCAGCCGCGCGAAGGTCCATGCTCCCACCCCATCTCACTCCCCAGCCCTCGCCAGCCGCCGCGCCGCGCCGACCCGAGCCATGCCTCCGGGCTCGGCCCTCACCGCTGCGCTGACGTCACAGGCGGCCCACATCGCCTTCCAGCCACCGACCCAGACCGGTGTCATACAGTGTGGGTAGGCTGTGCCGCTTGACAAGTAAGTGAAGCGGCACAGTCTACCGGTACCAGGCGGCTGCTGCCAATGCTGAGCCATAGGAACCCAGTGGATAAAGAGTTGTAGAACATCAATCTGCCCCCGAGTGTACGTTATCTTCTCTTACCCAGTGACGTCACAGCATGCTTCGGCTTGGCACGGCGGCCTAATACATGAAACCTTAACCTTGAGCGAAAACACTACCGGTGACGCCAGGGTTACCGATACCAAAACTTTGACCCCAGGGTACCTGTCGGGTCACCAGGTTGGTTGGTTTGGGTTAAGCAGTCAGGTCACCAGGTCAAGCCAAGTAAGTGGAAGAGGCATGAGAGAGCTATCAAATGTGCTTTTTGCTGCACCGTAGCTCCTTTGGTTCACAATTGTTGTACAGGCTTGTGAAATGTTGTCAATATTGTAGAAATTTATGGCTTTAACTTCTGGTTATCTCCACTCTCCAGTAACTTTGGGTTTGAGCTTATCAAAACTTAGGATCACATATCAAATTCTGAAGAACTGTATCCAGGCTATATAACTATATTGGGCAGATAGTGATTGCCATTTTCCACATCTTTCTGATGTTCTTAGTTATCAAGATGATTGGTCATGGTCTGATACCTCTTCCCTCACCATGAAGTTGGCTGAGTTCCACTCCAGGGCGTGGTTTGGTTTGCCAGATGTAATGCAACCCTGAGTCTAGCGAGTCTAGAAGTAATTTTGGCTCAACCTACCATTTTAGGCAGCCAGCAAGTAACTGATTGTCTTTTATAAATAGAACACCATTCTGTACTAAACTGTACTTATGTCATTAGTGAGAGATCTGGTTTGTGATAGCTTCTTTTTCATTTTGCATTACTGATTGAATTGTCTGGTTCCAGGGACAATCACCAATATGACTTCAGTGGAAGCAGGCACTGCCGGTGGTGCCAGTGGTGATGACGAATGTAGTGCTCTGCGTGCGTCCCTCCTGCGATTAAATGAAGAAAAACGGCAGCTTGATTCCCGTATTGCTGCTCTGAGCAACGTTCTCACATCACAGAACGTCACTATGGACGAGCCATTGGTGGATGCAGAGGGATATCCGCGCTCCGACATCGACGTCTACTCTGTGCGGCATGCACGAGCACAGCTACGCCGCCTGCAGAACGACTACCGTGCGCTGATGAGCGACATCGAGGCTGGGCTGGCGCAGCTGCACGCGCAGCACCGGGAGGCCGGCACGGCGTCGGAGGCGGGCGGCTCGGCCACGCCGCCGGCCGCCTTCCTGCAGGTGACGGCCGTGACAGACGGCTCACCGGCGGCCGAGGCCGGCCTGCGCGCCGGCGACCAGCTGGCCGCGCTGGGCTCTGTGAATGCCGACAACTTCGGCTCTCTGTCGGATGTGGCCGGCGTGGTGCGCCACAGCGCCGGCCGCCCGCTGGCGGTGACGGCGCTGCGCGCCGGCCGCCGGCTGAGCCTGCAGCTGACGCCGCGCTCCTGGGCCGGGCCGGGCCTGCTCGGCTGCACCCTGGTGCCCATCGACAGGCCCGAGAGGTGAACGGCCGCCCTCGGACAGCGATCGGCTTCTGCTCCGCGGTGGGTCATCTGATATTGGCTCTCGTGCTATGAGACAATGATATTGTGTTTTGTGCTAAGGGGTGTAAAGGACACACCCTTGCACATAAGGCGGTGCTATGGGGGCTGAGCACGCCCGTGGTCGACTCGATCTTTGATAAGCTAAGCATGTTTATTGCGACAGTCGCATCACATGCCATTGTTTGCGCCATTGCCAGTGTAGTGCGGGCTCGGGCTTTATCAGATACAGCTTGATGTGTTGATATTTAACCTGATTGCACTTGCAAGCTTACTCTTGGTATTTTTGAGTGGGAAATAATAGAAGGCTTATATCTTGGGAAAAGACGCGGGTTTGGAGTCTTTGAGAACGATAGGTAATCCTACTTCCGTTTGTTCGATCGCCCCACCTAAATTGATAAGCGCTATAATATAAGTGATAAGCTCTAAAGTGATAAGTTTTATGACAGTGTCCACCTGCAATGCCATCCCATGTAAGAAGTAATCCTTGGAACTTGACCTTGGAGGATTTGGATCTCGCTACGTTTATTTGGATTGTCTTGATGATTTTTTCGACTGATGTTTTTTTCGATGCTGAAACCGTTTCTTTTTTATGGTGGCCATGCAATAAAAAGTACGAAAAGTAGAAAACATAGTTCATTTGCAAAAGAATATCACCTAGAAGTGAACCTTAGAATATTGCAGCCTATGGATTGCATTTCTATAGGTATAATCCGGTCAGAGAGAAGGCAGGATTTCTTTGACGAAATGCAGTTGACCGTGACGTATGTCTCAAAGGAGTGTCGGTGGGCGAGTTGTATTTATTCACATTTTGACACAACACCAGCCACTTGCATGCCTATAATGTGCAGTTGTGCTGACTTGTCAATATGCATTGCAATTTCTAAGCATCGTAGCATATTTACCATCTTCGAAGCACATGAAAAGCATTTTCTACCATCATTGGGACAACACGTCTCCCGAGAGTCCATTGATCATCTTTGCAATATCTGCCTGGATTTATAATAAAAGGTTGCAGATAAAGACGTTGAGTAGGTATGTGCTAAGTAGCGTATGCACTGCACTATACTACGTACTCGAACTTGTAGCTTAACGCTCATCGAATAGGCAAGCGGTCACCTATTAACTAGACACGGTTCTTTACAAAGAATTTACAAGAAAAATATTTTCTAGGAAAGCTGCAGTATCTAACCGTAAACCTGAGCAGCTTTCAACATGAATGCCTTCTTGATATTAATGAGGGTTAAATTCCGTAGTCAGACTGCCATAGACCCCTGTATTCCTCTGTAATCTGTATACTGTGTGCGGTATACATAGGTCTATGCTTCTGCTTATCAGTCGCGGGATGTATAGGGAGCTATATATCTGTGTGCTGGCGCCCGCCTTGATGACTTTATGACCCGGTCGTCGTGCTGCCGGGACTCGTCATGAATCCGCCGCTGCCTCCCTCCGGACTGTCCGATGCCGTCGTCCTTGTTGTTGTCCAGGTCAGCTGCCAAGTAACCGACTCGGTTTCTGATGTGACCGGCTGCCACTGATGAGCCAGCGGCTGCCCTCTGGCGCTCGACCATTGATCGGGCGAGTACTGCTGCAGCAGCTGTTGTTCATCCTGCATCTGGTGCCACTGATCAGGGTGACCGTTTGTCGCGCCCCATCGCCGAGCGTCGTCGGGAGTCGGCGCTGCCTCCAGAGGTCCCGGTCTCGTGCTGCCGAAGGTCGTCTGGTGCGGCCCGGTGAGCGCCAGCTGTCGCCGGCGGGAGCTGCCACCCGTCAGTCGGTGCACGAGCACCTCGGCCACGAGCAGCAGCAGCGAGAGCAGCACACCGCCCAGCAGCAGGCCGAAGCTGACGGCCACCGACCGAAGCCCCAGCTGCGAGTACTGCGCCGCCTGCGGCTCCGTGGAGCACAGCCGCGAGCCGGCCAGATAGGAGCGCCTCAGCCGGCGCCGCCACCGGCTCAGCACGCCGGTTTCCTGCAGGACTCGCAGGTAGCGGCCCAGCATCCATGAGTTGTGTAGGTGCGGAGTGGCGATCATGCTTACAGGAGTTTGCGCCACCGGCTCCGGCCAATAGCAGAGCGGACAGAAAGCAGGGTCTGCCATCGATTCGTCCATGGCCAGAAAGGCGTCCGATGCTAGAATGATGTCGTTGGGCGAAGTGGCCGCCTCCGCAACAGCCGGGTAGTCCTCCTCTGGGCCGAAGTGAACGATGGGGCTGCTGTGCGCCAGAAAATCCCGCAGAAGGGCGGTAGAGTTTGAGCGCAGCAGGTCTTCTTGCTGCGAGCCGGCTTGGTAACGAACTCGATAACCGTTGGAAGTAGCAGCAGAGAGACTCGAGAAGGGCGACGCGGGTACTAGAACGGCCATGTAGCTCAGCATGACCCCCGTGTAAAAGTTGTAGATGAGGAGCGAAAACATACTTAACGTCAGAAACAGAGTGCCGATGGCATAGGAGTTGGTCGTGAGCTCGACGCCTCGCTGGCAAAGAATGCCTGCAACCTGAAGCACGTGAGAACTGACATCCGGGAGCGATTTCCAAGGTGTCGTTGAGTGGCCATCTCGAAAGCGACGAACGAGCCAAGTGATGATCCACGACAGGATGCTGGAGATGACCAGCGTGGCGACAATGAGCGTCCACACGTCCATGCCGAACGGCTTGCCCGGGTCGAAACCAGCGCTGTTGAGCCGCGGCTTGCGCACTGTCGCGTACGTGGTGACGAACCACTGCGCTTCGAGGAACGATACCCTTTCGCGCAGCTGAGGCGTCGGCGCCATCAGGCCGAGGCCGATGTCCAACCGATAGTGAGACACCTCGTTGACCAGCTCCTTCCACACGGACGTGTTTCCCTTCGGGAAGACGGGAATGACGGTGAAGCTGAATCCGAGCGAGTTGGACATTGTCTGGATGATGTCCGCCTGCGGGCCGTGCTGCAGCTGGCCGTCACGCAGCACGATTCCATCCTCGTAGCCGACGGACCTCTTCACTCCTTCTTCTTCGTTGGAAGGCGGCACTGCGCCGAACCCCATCTTCAAGTGCTGTCCCCTCATGGCTCCGCGCAGCAGCCAGTCGCCGACGTGAATGGCGTACGTCAGCAGGCCCGGCCGGTCCTCGATGAAGTGGTGGGGGCCGCAGCGACCGACGTCCTTGCGGACCCAGTTGCCGGTGTCGGGTCCCCAGTTGAGGGTGACCAGCCGCCAATGCTCGCTGTCGTCCCGGTACAGCCAGCTGACCCAGCCGGCCGCGCCGTCCTGAGGACGCCAGGCCGGGTCGCCCACCACGTGTATCAGGTGCAGGCGATCGATGTTTAAGAAGCCGGGTGGCGTTGGTCGGAAGAGCAGACCTCCGTTGCTGAAGGGCGGCAAGCCCTGCGCTTGATTACAGTGCTCGCAGAATGTAGATGGGTGCACGAAGAAGGAGTTCCGGGAAAGGTACGAAACCCACCACATGGGGTTAAATTCTGCAAGAAACAGAAGCAATAGTTACCAACTGCAGGCCGATGCCCCGTAGGGGTGAGTGTGTGTATGGGGAGAGGAGAAACGATCTCTTCCTATCTTTTTTCTTAGATATCTGCTGAAGTTACGCTGATACCGGCACTAAGTTTTCAGTAACGTCCTCCACATCAGTTCTACTTGTGCCCTATGCTGACCAAATGATATTACAGGTATGAGCAGAAAAATGCAACGGACGACTCACGACTGTCAGTGGCAGTGGTGGTTGACAGTTAACACCTACTATGAATACCACACAGGACGCCTACCGGTTGACCTGACGCGACCGGCCTAAATGCGTAAAGATATCATCTGTGATCAACACTAACGTGAAATTCGTGATCAGCACCCCGAAAACCCCATACAATCTCAATCTCAGAAGTTATGACAGGTTCTGATTTTCCCGATTTTTAGATCATCTAACCTAACTTGACCTGGAAGGTCAACCAATGACGTAAAACCTTTTACTTGGGTATCACCGGCTTCCGCTTGTCACGGGCAACACGCTCGTTTTTTCCTCAATGCTCTAGCTCGATCAGGGGCCGAACAGCAAAGGGGGAGAAAAGGTTATTCAAGGTTGAGTGTCTACATTTTTTATCCAGCAGTCAATAGACATCTACAACTGATAGGGATATTTCAGTGTATATCATGTAACAGGTACATAATGCCTCGCCGGCGGGCGGCCGCTGATATTGAAAGAAGAGATACGCCACGAGGTCACTTACGCGACGTTGTGACCCTACTTTCCGACTTCCGTTACCTAGGACTTCGTTACGTTACGTTGCCTATGTTTAAAATAAAGATATACAGCTAGCGAATTAAGATATGATAAATCATAAAATGCGGATTTCAGTGCAATGCAGTGTTTTGGCAGCAGTGGCCGGGTCGACCGGAGGCCGTGCCCGTAAACCCCGCATAACACTGATCGGCGGACTAGCCCGCGCCGTATCGGGGACGGCCGGGGCCTTATGCTTTCTTTTCGAGAGTAGGACCTAGTCCTACACATTAACGACTGTGCGGTAGGGACAGTCGTATAATTTTATTGTGCATTTCTTTTATCTTTGATGAAATGTCCAGATTGATTTGTTCTGAAGTCAAATACAACGACTTATTTCGGTAGGTCGAGGCATTTGAAATTGAACATTGAAACTTGAGGCAACGTTGTGGTTCGCACAGCAAATTAACCTGCGCCGTGCAGGTGGTCTGAGTTTTCTGTGTCGGGGGGGGGGGCGTTTTACGCCCCTCCCCCCATCTAACTCGGCTCCTAGGCCACGTAGCGACACGCGGCAAGCGGCATTCGAGAGAGCGTAAAAAACAATGACGGAAATATCTCAGTTATCGGAGTTATCCCGACGCATAACTCGGGAGCCAATAGAGCTACAGCGTCGAGGAAAAGCGCATTCGATAGCTCTTTCACAGGCCTTTCTGACTATGTTCTTAGGTTTGACCTAGGTTTTCTATAATGCGCTCCCTGGAGAGGGTTTAATAATCAAACGCCCAAGAAGTGTCCACTGTCCAGTGACGAAAACAACGGTATAGACAGATTGCAATAAATCGTTAGAACCTGCCATCATGGGGGCGGCAGCGATTAGCAGGCTGGGGACCGGGATTGGATCCAAGGGCTGCGGGAACGGTACACGGAATCCCTCGGCCCGCACCTCTCGCCATCATTCCGTGACTGGGGACTGGAGACTGGTGAGCGAGCGATGGGGATGGTCATTGGTCAATGCCACGGCCCAACTGATATCTCGAAGGGTGCTGAATGATTGTGAATTTTGAAACAGGCGGCTGGATTTCTGGACCAAGGGCAGGGTTGAAAGGCTCCCTCATACAGGGTATATAGAACAACCCCTCATATCCCAGTCCCTCATACACGCCTGACGCCTGCCACCAGTCATCACCTGGGTAGTTGGCTTCATACTTGAGGTTGATGGTCTGCCAGCCGAGTCGGCGGGCGATGTCGGTGATGCAGTCTGGGGGCGGGCTGACCAGCTGCCGGCTCCAGCAGCGGCCGGCCAGCGCCGCCAGCAGACCCAGCACCAGCTGACACAGCAGGAGCGACATCTCGTGCTGGGCGGACGGCGGACGGAGCGACCGACCAGCGGCCGAACAGACTAACAGGAGCTGATTGTCGAGGAGGCTGCGCTCCGACTCGTGTGCCTAGGTGGAAGCTGTGGGATGTCTGGCAGAAGTGAATGGTTTGGAACGGCAGCCCCGGACTCTGTGAGATGCTCGGTGTACCCCGGTGTGCGACTCGCCCTCTCCGCCGGCTGTCCACTAACAGAGCGCTCCTCTGGCGGGCCGCGGCCAGTCTCTATCCCCGGCCCCCGGTCGGGGGCGCAGGGAGCCGCTCCCGCGCGGCGGACCAATGACAGACGCTGGCCACACCCCCCGGGCGGCCCTCGATGGACGCTCCACACCCGGTGGTGGCCGCGTAAACGACGCCATTCAGACGCGTGTGACGCGAGGGGCGTGGCACAATGGCCAGCCAGGTGACACACACCATTGCCGCACAGACAACGATGCCGTTGGCCTCTGAATACATTGGTAACGAAGCTGCCGACCGCGGATGGCAGAGCAATGCGTTCTCACGTTTGTTTATGGCCGTGGGCTAAGTGCACGGCCAGGGTCGCTCCGCAGGCGCGGCCGATTGTCGATTTTCGCACGATTCCGAACACCTTTGGGGGCTGGGCGATTCAGGCACGTGCTACAGACGAATTAAGCGCATTCACCGGCCAGTTGCTCTTGAGAAGGGAAGCAATGGTGCAATAGGCGAAGACGTGGCAAACAGCCATAGTTTGAAAAAGTTGGTGACGTTTCACGGCCTGTTGCGGAATCTAAAGAGCATTGGTGTTGCGCGACAGCCTAGATGGTCGTTTCACGTCGTTGCTATAGTAACGAACAACATGTCATTGGATACCGTTGCTAAGGAGCAAGTGCAACTAACCCTAAGAGACCAGCGCGACTACGTACTCGAGAGCTCCAGATACGAATGATGATTCAAACAAGTCTTTCTGGCGACAGAAAGGCGGTTTGGCTTCACACTACTCATCGCCGAAACGCCAATACTTCCTCACACAAGCGCTTATATTATAAATCACGACTGTTTCCTGCGATGATAGTTAACACTACGTCTTGGCGCGTCACATCTCGTCCTGTTCCTGGTCGTCTTCGGCCGCCTGTCTCTTTTCTGCCCAGAGCGCGGCCGAGGCGGCCCGACACTCTGGGTACTGATCGGCCAGGAAGCTGCGCACCTCGCCGTGCTCGGCCAGCAGAGACACGCGCACCTGGTCGGCGGGACAAAGGAGCAGCGTCAGACAGCGCGTCTACATCAGCCGTGTCGGCTCACAGCCGCGGGCACCGGCCACCGCAACTCAGAGCCGCAGACATCAGCCACCGGCTGGTGTGTATCCTGGTTAGAAAATAGCAACATTATTCGATGCTACTGAGTAGTTAATTTTCTTGAACGCGTTACACATAGGTATGTTTTTTCAAGGAATATTACAACGCAAACCGAAGCATTTACTCGATTGGTAGGCAATCTTCTTCAATTTACTACGATTCGAGCTCCGATCAACGAAGAGAAGGGAAACAAAATATTAACAACTATCCGAAGACTGACCCTCCGTTCCATCGCTTCCATCCTCAGGATACAGAAATCATTCTCCTCCACGCCGCAACCCCCATTCCGGGCTGGGCAGGCACCTTTATCTCATGCGGGCTGCTCGCGGCACCGCTGCTCCCGAGGGAGCGCACTCCGTAGCCGGGTGCAGAGAGTGCTTGGGGGGGGGGGGCTGGTCGGCCTGTCCTTTCGGACGGGCTCAGCCCCGGCGACTCTCTATGTAGGGTGTCTGCCCAGACCAATGTCTCCCCCTAATTCCTATCATCCTTCCGGCCCTGAAATGGTCTCGTCAGATCGAAAGTGCCTAACCCAACAAAACAAAACAAAAGCAAACAAAACAAACCGAAGACTGACCTGTTCCTGATTTTTGAGATGTTTGACCTTGTTCAGATGTGTTTGATAACACGGCAGCTTCATGTAGAAGGGCTGTTTTGGAGGCATCTTGAGCGGCACCTTTCCTTCAAAGATGTGCTGGAAAAAAATCAAAGACGCACAGTAAGCATAAAAATAAGATCATAAACGTTTATAAAGGCAACATTGCCTCGGGCATTCGCGCAGGCTGGGATAATCGGTTGGTTCTCCCGCCTTCATATAGAGATACGTCCTAGTCTGATGATCTTTGACATGCGCCGGCTTGCATATTTCTCCCCCGATAATGGACACTAATCCAACGGGTTACGGACAAAAGTACGTATCGCTAAAGTACGTAGGACAAAAGTACGTAAGCAAAAGTACGTAGGATTAAAGTACGTATCGCAGAAGTACGTACAGTATAAAGTACGTATGGACAAAAGTACGTCAGGGACAAAAGTACGTATCGCAGAAGTACGTACAATATAAAGTACGTATGGACAAAAGTACGTCAAGGACAAAAGTACGTATCGCAGAAGTACGTACAGTATAAAGTACGTATGGACAAAAGTACGTCAGGGACAAAAGTACGTATCGCAGAAGTACGTACTGTATAAAGTACGTATGGACAAAAGTACGTCAGGGACAAAAGTGCGTATCGCAGAAGTACGTAGGGTATAAAGTACGTATGGACAAAAGTACGTCACGGACAAAAGTACGTATAGCTAATGTACGTAGGGTAAAAAGTACGTATGGACAAAAGTACGTCACGGACAAAAGTACGTATCGCAGAAGTACGTAGGGTATAAAGTACGTATGGACAAAAGTACGTCACGTACAAAAGCCTACGTATAGCAAATGCCTGTAGTATGGGCAAGACGCCCCAGATAATTTATTTTGCTACATAGGTACACTCGGGGGCAGATTGATGTTCCACCACTCCCTACCCATCGGGCTCCCGTGCCCCCGAGTGTACCTACTTTTGTCTCACATCACCTGAAAGGCCAAATTTGTGCTCAATGTGTTCTTTGGACATTTTACTTTAAATTCCATCCCTCAAATTCATTCACTTATGATCGGACTCCCAGCTAGGAAGTGCTTTGTGAAGCAACTGCAAATGGGGCATTTTGCCCCAACCGTTTGGTATTGCTTTTGTTTGCGTAGCTCTCTTATTTACGGAGTTAGACAGGGGAGGGGGGGAGGCGAAAAACTACCCTCCCCGGGCTGCGGTGGTTGGAATTACCAGAAGAGAGGATTTTTTCCCCAGAACCCTGCCAGTTCCGAGAAACATCGGTGAGGCGTTTTACCTCGGCGGGGCGACTTGCCCCGGTCTACCCTACGTGTGGACAAAAGTACGTCACGGACAAAAGTACGTATAGCAAATGTACGTAGGGTATTAAGTATACGTACCCCACCCTTGGGTTAAGTTGATCAATGTGTAATACCTTTCTTATTCTTTATTTAATGAGCATTTGTTACAAGGCATAGCAAAATTTCTCGATGAGTAAATGGGCGAAATGGACAAAGCTATATTATTTGGTATATGAATTTATCATGAGTTCCCTGTAGCATGGCAACAGAGCAGCAAGAAAAAGTGGCTCAACTTACACTACTATACTCTACTTCTAGCATACGTACTTTATACACTACGTACTTTGGCATACGAGCCGTACGTACTTTTGGCAACGTACTTTTTACACTACGTACTTTTGCATACGAACTTTTGCGTACGAACATTTGCGTACGTACTTTTGGTATACGTACCTTATACACTACGTACTTTTGCATACGTACTTTTGCGTACGAACATTTGCGTACGTACTTTTGGCATACGTACTTTATACACTACGTACTTTTGCATACGAACTTTTGAGTACGAACATTTGCGTACGTACTTTTGTCATACGTACATTTTACACTACGTACTTTTGCATACGTACTTTTGCGTACGAACATTTGCGTACGTACTTTTGACATACTTACTTTATGCACTACGTACTTTTTCATACGTACTTTTGCGTACGAACATTTGCGTACGTACTTTTGACATACGTACTTTATGCACTACGTACTTTTGCATACGTACTTTTGCGTACGAACATTTGCGTACGTACTTTTGGCATACGAACTTTATCGCCTACGTATATTTGCGTACGAACATTTGCATACGTACTTTTGTCCTACGTACTTTAGCGATACGTACTTTAGTCCTAAAATCTAATCCAACACAGTGAACCGATTAACCCGCGCCGGGCCGGGGGGGGTGTTTGAACACCCCCCCTTGCGGTTTTTCGCAGATATCTCAAAAACGGCGGCGCGGAGCGCCGCCGTTTTTGGCACACCTGTTCGTGCATCTTTTCCGCACATGTTGTGAAAATTTCAGACCCAGGTCACCTTAGGTCAGGTCACCAGGTCACGCCAAGTGACCTCACCTCAGAAAAAATAAGAATGCTCGTCATAGCTACACCGACTGAACGATTGCCTTGAAACTTTCAGCGATTGATTAGAGCAACACTATCTATAAAATGTATATCTCGGAATTTTGATATCGGTGACCTAAGGTCAGGTCAATTTTGCGGCCTCTCCATTATAAGTCAATGGGAGAAAATTGAAAAGCGCCTGTTTTGCACGAACGCTATTCTAGACACTCTCAAACATCGAGATGTAGGTAAAATAGACACACTGAACCAGAAAATGGCAACTGTGACCCCTCGTTATGTCCCCGAGGTCATCTCAGGTCACGAACAGAATCTAACAGTTTTTCGATGATAACTTCTGATAGAGGCGTGCTAGAGCGCTGAAAACGCCTTAGATGTGTTTGGCTCGACGTTGCGGATCGACTGATATGCAACATGACCTTTTCCGGTCAGGTCATGACCTTGACCTGAGGTCAAATTTTCAAGTTGACCTTTCAAGGTCAAATTATAGTTCATTCGACGCGTCTCGATGAGAGGAACACGATGCTGGCAAAAGTAATGTCATAGCTCTTTTGAGTCAAAAGTTATTGCCGAAAAAACGTTTTTCGTAAAAACGGCTATTTTTGGAGTTTTTGCCCTCTGGAGGCTAAACCGTTGACCTGAGGTCAAATCTGAGAACATTACTCAGAAAGGTCTGTAATAGGGCTATCGAATGCGTTTTTTGCGGCGCTGTAGCTCTATCGGTTCCCGAGATAGCCGTTGGCAGTTTCCAAAATGTTGAAATAGTCAACATTTTACCTTTGGTGACCTCTGGTGACCTGACCTTTGACCTGACCCAAAAAATGACCGAAGCGTTTTCGTCCTTATTTCTGACGTTCTTTCGATTGCCGCTTACCGCGTGTCGCTACGTGGCCCAGGAGCCGAGTTAGAAGGGGGGGGGGGTGTTCAAACACCCCCCGCGGCCCGGCGCGGAATTTCAGAGCACCGGCCCGGCGCGGGTTAATTGAAAGAACCAGGTCCTAGCTACCTCGCCCATCGGCAGTCTCCCCACCCGGGTGTCGCTGAGCGCCGGTATCTAACATCCCCGATCCACCCACCAGCTGGAAGTCGAGCTCCTCGTCGGCGGGAATCTGCTCCTTGGAGCGCACGGGCGCACCACCCGGCGAGGCCACCAGGCGCGGGTAGTTGTCCGCCTCGGGTCGCAGCTCGACCAGGTGCAGTCGCTTCTCGTCGGCCAGCTGCTGGTGCGTCCGCTGCGGCACCGAATGACGGTAACGGTCAGAGTCAGTACGGATGCTGCGGGGTAGGACGATATTCAAGGCTCAAGCACGATCTTAACTTTCACGTCTGATTATTTAATATTAATGTGTAACAATCCGGTATGTATCATTGCCAAATTTGAACGCATTAATATCAAATTTGAATGCATTAATATTTAGCACCATCCTCATTTATTCATTATGATGAATCCATAACCCACAAAACCGAATCCGAAATGTTATCAGCCGGATTAAATGTGACAAGATGTACGGTGGATTTAAACTACGCTGTCAGCCCACGGGCCACCATGTCTGTGTCAGCTGAGTACGTCGGTCGGTCACAGGACCACCCACTGATCGAAGAGCGGTGCTCACCTGTCGCAGCAGTCCGAGGAAGAAGGCCTTGGTGATGCTCTGCACGTTGTCAGTGGGCCCCTCCACCTTGGCGTACAGGTCGGAGATGCCCACCCGGTGGCAGATCTCGCGGATCGCCCGGTGACACTGCAGGCCGTGACCGCGCGGACGACGCTCCACGAATATACGCACCGCCGCGAAACGCGTGAAAAAGTCGTGAAACACTGCGGCAGGAGGAACGTATGTTACATATTGGATAAACGAACACATACATTGGGGTATGTCAGCACAGTACAAGGCTCACGGGTCGCTAATTGAGATTTCGTCGCCCAGAGTTACACCATAGAGTCGTCTCCCATATACACATACAGGCCAGTATTTGCTAGGAAGTGCGTATGTAATTGATCTGAATGTGGCTGTCACATTAAAAAGAGATGTAATTGACCCAACACAGTCCGCCACATACAGGTCTCTGGCTGTTACACCAGTCTCCCCCATATTATATATACCGGCGTGTCCATTACAGCTCAATCTCCCCACATACCAGTGTGCCCGTCACAGGCCAGTCTCCCCCACATACAGGTGTGCCCGTCAGTGATTGCCAAAGCTGAATCGTCCCACATACCGGTATTACCGTCTCAGTATCCCCTGTATACCGGTGTGTCAGTCGTCACTGCCCAGTCTCTCCCACGTACCGGGATTACCGTCCCATGAGTATCCCCTGTATACCTGTGTGTCCGTCTTCTCAGCCCATTCTCCCCACGTACCCGTCGCAGCCCAGTCTCCCCCACGTACCAGTGTGTCCGTCACTTCCCAGTCTCCCCTACACACCAGTGTGCCCGTCAGTGCTCGTCATATCTCAGTCTCCCCCACATACCTGTGTGTCCGTCGCAGCGCTCCACGTAGATAAGCCGCTGGCCGGCGCGCCGCTTGCACTGCTTGATGGCGGCCATGCCCGTGTTGCCCTTGCCGAGACCGTAACCGACCAGGCCGGCGCCGTTGCCGGTCACGGCGAAGCAGCTGATGTGCCGCGTCCGGCCGGCGGTGGCCGTCATGGAGAACACCGTCTTCAGCTCCAGTACGGTCGTGTCGAAACCCTCGAACGTCTCTGCGACACCAGGAAAGGCATCGGTCAGAAGTCAGAACGGAGGCATGGAAATTACTCGACTTCGACTGATTAATGATAAACTTGCAGCACATATATTTGGATGAAGGTAAAATACAAATTTAAGCAAAATACAACCTACAATACATGATCGAACTAGCTAATTAAACATGCTGCAGATAATTATTTTAAGGCGGTATCTTCATTTTCTGTGGTCATCAAGGGCGCGATGCCTGACAAGGGGTAGCGTCAGCATCTCCGTCTCTGCGGCTAACATGCTGTTTTCACCGGATAACCCACAGGACGGGCTTCGATAGCGAGTCGTCTGCCATCAATTTATCGTTTTGAAACGTTCGAACATAATGTGCACAGACGATGAATAAGGGCGAGTGACTGAGCGGCTTACTCAAGGATCCGTGTCGCCATCGTCACCCATTTACCCAGCGGTAGGTATTGAGCTAGCAGAGCATAAAAACTCTTTGTCCGCACAACAGTATTTAAGGTGGCCGGTGGGCGACGTAGGTTCTTTTGCACAGTGTCCACCTCTTTTTATCACTGAGGCGGAACAAAAGTCTGAAGGATGAGGTAAAAAGTATTGACGATTATTGAAAACAGTAATAAATCCAATTAACCCTGTTGGATAGTTAGCTGTTCTTGTGAACTTTGAAAACACGTCAACGTTCATAACGTTCTGATTCAACTTCTTGACTGTAGGTTCTTTTGCACAGCGTCCACCTCTGCTTATCATTGAGTCTGAACAAAGGTGAACGAATGAAAACTACTGAAAAATTGGCATGGGGAGAGCACTGGTTTCATGTATGACGCATTTCCATACCGGTAAAACAACATCAAAGTCTTATCGGAAAATGAAGAGAAGAAGGCAACTCACCAAAGTCGACGGCGTCTGGCGGCCCAATGCTGCGGCCGGGCAGCCGGTTTCCGGACCAGCCGCGCTCGAGGGGGGTCAGTTTGAATGAGCGCTGGTCAGTGAACTGGTCCCGGATGGCCTGCAGCCGGCTCTCGCGCTGCTCGTCCCGCGGCTGGCTCTGCTGGCGCACCAGCTCGCCGTTCCGCAGCACGGGCGCGTTCAGACCGGGCCACATCATGTTCACCTTGCCTGGCGGACGGGGCGACAGACACCGGATGACGTAATCAACATCTCTACTGCTAGCATGAACGAGTAAATGCTTTGAATACCAAACTCTTAATCAGCTACGCCAATATCTACGTACCGCGAACGATGTAATCGTACACCGTGGATATGCAGCTACCTTTTAAAGGATATATGAACTTCACATGCATGCAGTAGACATCAGCAGTGTTAGACTGGGCCTACAGAAGGCCAAAGACTGTCGCCCATCACTTACCGACACCGATAACCTGACCCCGGTTGAGGTCACGCCGTCTCTTGACTCCGGCGCCGCGGCCACGGCCCCGCTTTCGGCCGGCGTTACTGACACCGGTGACTCCCTTCCAGAGCTCGTTGGCGCTCACTGTAACACGGAAACGGCGATAGTCAGCCTGATACTCAGTCCCATAGCTTTAGGCCATATTATTGCCCGAATTTGCACAATCGTTTCATTCCTACTAAGTAATAAGTATCCTCTCCCCTTCACCCCATTGAGCTAATCGAGCCCTGATACTTACTGTTTGTGAAGAATCCAGCATTTCTGCTGGGTTGTATCCCCAATACAGCCTTGTCTTGTTTCTGCACGAGCACTGACAGGACGGGTGTCAATCGGCCGGCGGCGTGATGACATTGTTGAACTGAAACAAAGAGAATCACTTGTTACAAGAAACTCACTTTATCAATTTCCCATTACCCGAATATTGAGCTAACAAACCTAGAAATCTAAAACTGATAATGGATAGGATAAACAAGGACAGATGCAACCAGTTATCTTTACATCAAAGTGGTGTCACATATTTTTATAGGTATTATGCAATTTATGCATAAGTTTCAGATGTCTTCCGTCTTTTGAACGCCATCGTTCACCGAACGGGAGCTGTCGGTTATAATTCTGCTGGGTAGCGTCAATCGGCGGCGATGCGTATTGCGGTACAGCCTACATTCAGGCGACTACCACTGCTGCCATCTAGTGACGGCAATAGGTACAAACATACTCTAATCAGGCAGCAGTGTAACTTCACCAGACATTCTTTGTCCCAAGATCGCATGTTTAGGTATAATGCTACCATCGAGTGGCAACATTAGAAGGCTTGAAGTCAGATCAAACAACACACACAGCTATGATTTTTTTTTTGCTTTCAAAAAGGGGATGAGCAATGAGCATAACAGGAGAGAAGCCAGTAGATTGCCTACCTACTTGGAATCCCATTGAATATGGAATCACCAAATTATCCTGACTGGTGAATCAGTGTGCATTTCTTTTGATGAAACATGCACTTTCATTGATCATTCAAAACACACCCTAAACACTCCATGGCAATACACATATTTCAGATCCCTAGCGTGATGCAGCCTGGGAAAGGGGTAAGTCCTTACAGGGAGTTTTTAAACAACACTGGGTAAGGGAAGGTGCTAGAGATGAGGCCTGTGGGTAAGGATGAGTGATGAGTGATATATAGCAGGAGTCCAGGTGTGATGGGTCAAACTTAACAGTGTGGATGAAGATTTGCCTCTATAGGCAAAGCTGAAAATATGTGGACAAAAAAGAAATGGATAAACAGGTATTTGCTGACACAGAGCTTGAAGCTTGAGGGGTCAAGATATGTGAGACATCAGGGAATTGTTAAAATGTTGTCAGAGCCATGAAGATCTAATCCTATACAAACTAATGCATACAAGCCCATGCTATGCCTCGCAGATGCACACATTGGATCTCCATACTTTTGTCAGTGAAACAACTTTTTCAGCATCACCATCATATTTCTCTCAGCCAGGTATGCAAGTGAACTGAAATTAAGCCTCAAGATGTCTAATTAAAAAGTGACCTTTCAAATGTACCTTTCAAAGATGAAAGCAAGCAGCTGATGCCTGGACGAAAACATGTGCTGGCACCAGCCAGCTTTGGTACCCAAAGTTTCAATGATAACATGGTATGAATGGTAACTTTCAAAAACTCTCTAACATTTTACATACAAAGTCGATATTCTTTGCACCAAATAAGCTACAAATGAGGCAGTGACTCAAAAAAATCTGCACCTAGTTTTCGGAAAATATGAAGACACAGGCACAGCTCCCATCAGTGAAAATCAAAATTAGGCAAAAAGCGTTGGACACAAGGCCCTGTTTTCACCGTCGTCCCTAACGGGGACGCCGGTGAAAACAGGGCGCCGGAGGGCATATTAGTCACGTGACATTTGGAACTTCTCCCGCTCCATGGGCCTTCCATGTGCCAAACGTCACGTGTAAATTTCACGAACCTTGATCAAATCGCCCCAGGCGCCCTGTTTTCACCGTCGTCCCCCTAACGGATGCACACTTGCAGGTCCTGTTTAATCTATCGACTTCGATGGCTGCTTGCGCCGTTCACTTCATGTCTCCATGGTAATTCGCGATCCAACAAGCGCGAAGAAATGTCAACTATTTTGCATTTGCTCACGTTAAAGATTATTGAACAAAATTGATATGTAACGTCTGCGCCAGTCAAGAGAAAAACTTTTCGAGGCTCTTCATTAAAAGACAAAAAAATCATAGTTCAACGTGACCTCCCAGGCCGTCCCAGGCAATCGGATCGGAATATACGTGTTTGTTACACGTGATAAGTCTACTATATTGCATGCCTTGACTTTGGAGTTGTGGGTGTTGTCCGAAAAGTTAGTAAACACCAAACACCGGCGTGTGACCGCAGTCGCAACAGTCCGAATTATCTGCCCCGTTGTGCATTTTGTTATCGTGGGTACATACCTACGTTTTTATTCAAAGCTTTTAACATTCAAGAGGATGTCAAATTATCCGGTAAGCTTCTTTGACTTTTGGGTCGTGTAAACTCCTCTAGTGCATAGTGCACAGATATCTCCAGTCGACCTTGGACCCTTGGACTATATATGGCCTTGCTTGGACCTCTACTCCTCACCTATCCGTGCTTCTATCCTCAGGATACTGAAATCCATCTCCTCCATGCCACAACCCTCTCCGGGCTGGACAGGAAACTTTATCTCATGCGGGCTGCTCCCTTGGAGCGGCACCGCTGCTCCTGAGGGAGCGCACCCCGTAGCCGGGTGCAGTGAGTGCCTTGGGGCTGGGTGGCCTGTCCTCTGGACGGGCTCAGCCCCGGCGACTCACTAGGGTGCCTGCCCAGACCAATGTCTCCCCCTAAATCCTATCATCCTTCCGGCTCTGCAATGGTCTTGTCGACCGAAAGGGCCTAACCCAACAAAACAAAACAAAACAAAAACTTCTACTCCTGTCGATCACTGTCCTCTGAGCCAAGGGAGCCCTCCTCAGCATGGCCAGGGCTAGCACCAAGCTAGTACCTACATGTTAGGGTTGTAACAGTTTTGAATATCAGATTTGATGTTTGTGATCATGCTTACTGTCATTTAAAGCTGTTAAAAATGTTAAGAATAAAGTTGAAAAGAATGAAGAGGAGTAAGCCCCTCTCAGACCTCAGTAGTTAATGGGTAGGTATGGTTAATCTTGTGATAGACATTTTTTTCTTTTGTGACTTACAGGTCCCTCCTCAAGGTGGCGTGGATCCCAAAGCAGCCCAGTGGTTCCGCATGGTAGATCGGGACAACTTGGGTCGGATAACTGCGGAAGAACTGCAGCAAGCACTCTCCTCTGGAAACTGGCAGAAGTTTGACATTGCCTGCTGCAGAATGATGATCCGTGAGCAGAATGACATGACAGTGCTAATGCATAGGTATTTGTGTGGTGTAACTTAACCAATCCTAATCTAGGTGTAAGCAATAAAATCATTAAAATGTCAATTAGAGAGTTACTTATTATGTGGAAAGACATATTCTTGCTTCAACCAACACACCTGAAAATCTTGCCAGGCATGTTTGACAAGGATGGAAACGATACTGTGGACCTCAACGAGTTTGGCCACCTCTTCAACTACGTCAATGCCTGGATTGGCACATTCCAGAAGTTTGACTCCAACAAGTCATCCAGCATTGACAGTCGGGAGCTTCAGCAGGGTGAGTGCGACCACAGTACTGGGAA